ATCATGTAGAAAAAAGCCGATCAATCTTCTTGACTTGTTAACAACTTCATCTTAAAGGGAATTCAGAAGTCTGCCTGGACCACGCTAACCAGAAAGATATGTAAAAACCCTGTTTATCATCCCAGAAACTCAAGCAGCCACATATGAGTAGCTGCTCTAGGACATAATCTATTTAACTGTTGCACTGCTTAGCTTAGATAGCGGAAATGGAGGGAATCTAGGTGACTGGTGACAATTTTCCCCTATCAAGCTAGCCCATACGCTTGATTGCTTTTTTCATACAATACCAAAATTTTAATCAGATAAAGCGAAAATAAGAGGATAATATTAGAATTACCATTCGGCGCAGAAGCATGGCGGCCTTGTGGATGCCGAGGCAGATTTGCCGCCCTGCCTATCTGTTCTTCAATCACAGTGAAAGTTAGATCAGTGACTGGAGGCCAATCGGGTCCTGAGTATAGATTGGCACCAGTACTCCTGCCGTCCTTAGAACAAGAATATTTTTTCACTGAAATGCCGCTGGGCCGAATAGCCAAGGCAGCACTGCCTGGCTCTGGCGTCCATGAAGATTCAGAACTTGAAAACTGATCGGGACTCAACTCAGGTCTCGAATTCACCTCATCGTTAAAAGCGCTTCTGCAGTTAAGCAAGTCAGATTGTGAAGGCAACAAGGTTTCCTTAGCTTCTCCGTCAGGGTTGATTATGTCGGAGTCGAGCTTCTGGTCAAGAGTAGGGTCATCCACTTCGACTGAATTATGTGGCACTTGGCCAGAAGGTGAATCTAGGGTTGGATTGACGTCGACAGCCAATTGAGGTATGCAAGCAAATGAAGGATCCTGTGGAAGTGCGGAACAAGAAAATCGGTCGTTGGGAGTGGCAGAAATGAACAAATTTTGTAGCGTCGACAGATTGGACCTAATAACGCATGTCCTGAACGGATCCAAGAAGGTCTCGTCTCCAATATTAGATGAATTTAAAGATGAAACGACCGGTATGTGGACTGATGGCTGAGGCAGAACCAAGGCACGAGAAGGATCTGATGAAAGGCTGGTATGTAGAGGGTATGGTGACTGCTTGGACTCTTCACTCCCGATAGCCACAGTTTCGAGTACATCAGCTGTAGTGCCAGAATGGAGGGCTGTCGTAAAATCATCTGTAGAAGAAAAAACAGCTTCGTTTGGTTTAAAATGACCGGAAACTGACACGAGCTTGCTAGAATCCATAGATGATTTCGCGTTAACACCGGTTATATTATAATCAGTCATGGCTTCTTTGGATGTAGTTGTAAGTATATAGGGCTTAAGGGAGGAAGAAACGTTAAGAGATGGGGAGATACACGATGAGGTACACGCAGAAGTTGTAACATCAGACAAAGAGGAGTAAGTAACACGAGGAGAAGAGTGGGAAGAGTGTGGAACGATTGTCGCTTCGAGGTTTACCGAGTTTGGCAGATCCACTACACCGGAAGATAAGATTATTGGACGTGGGGCAACGTTTTGAGAGATTCGCTGTTTCAGATCAGATGAAAGCGATGAAGAAAAAGAGCAGACAGTAGAGGAAGAAGAGCAGGTATAGGAAGAATGAGTGGAACAGACGGACGTCAAATGATTACCGATGATTGTCGCGTCTGAACTGGCGAATGCGGATGATGAATTCACAGGATACGGGCAATGTACACAGGTATTTCCAAGAAAGCAGGATTCATCTCTATGGCTGAATTCCGAGCTTATCGCTGAACCAAGGGACAGGATTGGAACATTAAAATCAGTAGCAGTAGTGATTCTAGCAGAGCTGGCAGGTTCTGTAGTGCTCACATTGCAGAGAGGCATCGAAGTGGTTTGGACTACTGGTTGAGAGGGGGGAGGCCCCAACGATGTCAATGCCTGGAAAGAGGAAACTACAGATAAATCAGGCGGTGCTGCTAGAGAAGAGTGGCTTTGCGAAACGATGACAATCGGAGTGTCACAATTCGGATTGAGCAAACTGGAGCTTGAATCAGTGGAAGATGGCAGTCGTGCCTCGAGAGGTGGTGAGGAGCCAGGGTGATTCTCAAAGCTCTCGACAAGGGAGAGTCTGTTGGCCCTGCGATCAGATGAATATGAAATGGATAATTAAAATAAAGATAAAAAGTATAGCTCAGCATTTAAAGAAGCCCTGATTATCTGAGAAAGAGAAACAATTTTGATTTATTTCGAACTAATTTTGAGATACCTAGGAGGTACATGGGATCTCGTTAGTCAATATAATTTAATCTGAACCACCCATTAAATGAACGGTTTGCACAAGAAAGAGATTCTTGGAAATCTAGAACAGTGCGGGCACAACGGCAGGCACTTGTTGACAAATGAAAAGTGATGAAACCTCTCTTGAATTAGATAAATTTAACTTGAAAATATTAATTTTCTAGGGGAAAATGAGTGATTCGGATTAACTAGGAGAGATGTGGGGAGGAGTAAAAGGGTATAATTTCGTGGGAATACTCGTTAACGCTCAGGTAAGTGGACATGAGATGTAAACATTAAGAATCCCTATCACTAGTGCCAGTAGGGGACAACTCAAATCTTCGATTACGTGAGAGCCAACGTTCTTTGCTAAAATGCAACAGTGATGAACTCAGCTTTCTACCTTGCCTGTACAACATCTCACGAAATCACATCATTTTAAAAGATGCACTATACTAACCCATCCTGTACTCTGCTGCAAGTTCTTGCATACTAAGAGGATCCAAGTAGCAAAGCTATCCCGGTCGTACTAAAAGCCTCCAAGTCCTCCTATCTCGAGCGTGGCTACTTTTCTTTGTGTGATGAGGCAAAATAAAGAATATAGGCCAGGTAAATATAAACAATATTCATAAAGAACTACATTCTTATCTAACATAGCTGTACATTCTTTGGCACTGCCTGGGTCTACTCCTTAAGTCTTTTCAAATCAGCCTGTCAGTTAACTAATCTTTCATATCAGGTGAATATATCTTTCAGGAAAGTTCTTTAGCGTCGCCTCAGGCCCAAAGCATCTTGAGTCCAGCCCTCAGATTAAAACCTCTCATAACATGGTAGATTTTCATGAACTCCCTCCAAGGCTCACAAAATAAGTAACGAGGAGCTTCCGGTCTCTGATACCTCCTTGCCTTTTCTCTTCTCTGCCGCCTTGCTACAATGGTTTGCAAGCCCGGGTCATACCAGCAGTACTCATCGACCAAAGAGAACCTTCATTTGCTCATCTGAGATTCCGTCGGCCACCGAGGGACATTTCAGCAAAGATAATCTATTCCAACCAGGAGGCATCTGTTTCAGTATCAGTTTGTGAAGTTTCGACGCCATCTGTCAATCATAGCAACTCGCGAATTGCTCTATCGAGTGTAAGCTACCCTTCTCAGCTCTCGACATTTCAATGAACGCCGACAAACACGAAGTAACCTTATATACGTAGAAAAATCGGGTTTCAAATAATCCCTTAATAGAGTGGTATTGGGGTACCTTTCATTTCGCTTGAAGCAGAGAGTGAAAGGGATTCGTAAGTTTGCGTCGCCGGAAGCTGTAGAGGGAGTGTATTGGAGTAGTCTTTAGATTTGTGCAAGCAGGTCATCGGCACACCGCCCTGGGACCCCGATGAAGCTTTGCTGAGCTTAAGTCCATCATGTGAAGGACTTCGTCAGAGGAGGACACCATTTTTAAAGATAATTCACCAAAACACAAGAACAAGAAATTTGGCCGGCTTCACGCCTACCTACATCTTCTAGTTCAACTCAGTACACTTAATCAGATATCTCATAATTGGACTTTAAAAAGTAGGTAGGTTTGAAGACAGCCACCTTTATTGCCGTAAAGCATGATGTTTTGCCCTGACGACGTCCGTCACATGACGGGCGAAAGCTCAGCAAAGATTCCTCGGGGACGCAGGGCGCTGTGCCGAGGACCTGTTTGCAAAATATATAATCACAGCTTCAAGGCAGTCCCCATACTCCAACACTAACTAACCTTGCTTTCCACAAATAGTAATTGCTATATATCCTTTGCCCTGTTTACTTTTCTCAAGAAAAGCAGTCAGGTTTCGTTGCGATCAGTATAATTACCATTTTACCTTCTCATTTAATTTTATCTGCTATTCCCTATTCTGCTTTGGTTGTGTTTGTACTGAAGTCG